GAATCATTGGGTCGGACATATGCTGAGTAAATCGACAGCTGTGGAGACACGCTTTGGGGAACGGATGGGAGAAATCGAGAGGAGGTGCTAGAAAAAGGGAAAGAGAGAGATCGATTGGCAGAAAGAGAGAGAAGAAGTGAGGGAGAAAGAAAGAGAGAAGGGGTAAAGAAGAGAGGAGAGGAAGACAGGGGAGCAGGAAAGGTGAGAAGGAAAGAGAGAGGGAGGGAGAGATTGGGAGAAAGGAAGACAGGGAAAGAGATACAGAGAGAAAAAGGCACATCCACACGTGGACACCTTATCGAATCGACAGAACTCAAGCATAAGTCGACGATATCAATCCGGGTGAGAAGTTTAGGCAACATACGATTCAAAAAGGAGGTGAGTCAAAAACACTACTCTTTTCGCTGAAGAGATTTACGTGGAAAAGGAGGGATGAAACGGACTATAGGAACGATTAAGTGAGATAACGAGAAAAAAAAAAAGAAAAAAAAAAAGGGGGAGTGGGTGTTAGGCTACGAAGGAGGGAGAGGGATACGGATTGGGCAGGAAAAAAAGGGGGAAAATGTCATTTACATACGTCATGGCAGCCCAGAGGGCTATGACAGAAAAAGATAAAAGGGAAAGTGAGCATTTGAGGACGCAAGGGAGAGGTATCCGCCAGGGGGGAGTGTCGTCAGCATCTCAAGGCACGACAGCAACAGGAGGTAGATTCACTCAATCAAGAGCTTTGGGTCAAAGGGCCCTGGACTTCCTGATGGAAAAAACGAAAATAACGGCACCAGTCAGAATTACGAAGGAAGTGGTCAAAGGGCAAGAGGGAAAGGAAGAAGAGGTGGATGTGTGGGAATATCCAGAACAAGATTTACAGACATTGCATGACCTCTACGCACGTCACGCAGTGTTATTTAATTTCTCAGGCAAAAATCGGGAACCGTCTCTCAATGAAAAGAGAAAATGGGTAATGGAGAGACTCAGGGGATTAGAGAATATCCCAGGTATGGAACCGGAGGTGTCTTACCACAAGAGGGGCAGATATACAGTAATGATTGTTTGTGTTGACCCTGCGTATGCTCAATTTCTGTTATCTTTGGGTTCGCTAAGATGTCATGGATCTGTGGTCACGATTCAGGCATGGAAACTGCC